TAAGTTTTTATTAAAAAAATTAAACTTTTTAATAAAAACACAGGCAAATTTGCCTGTGTTACAATTTAAGAGATAAAGCTATAGAAGATAATCCATAGGTAGAAAAAGATAAATTGAAAGATATTATAAAAAAGGTGATATAATTTGCTAAAAAAAGAAGTATTCAGGGTTCCTTGAGATACGAAATACTTTGTGATATTTTTCCAGAGGTGAGATAGCAAATTTTTATAAATATATAAGTTGTATTGGATGATGTTTACATAGACAGTGGTGCCACTAAGAAAGAGAGTATAATAGCTTAGGTTCTCTATAGCCTGCCAATAGGATTTTTCCTCGACAGTAGGAGGGTTCTTTAGGCTATAAATACATACTCAATTTTATGTTGTTATTAGCATCACACAAGATTTCATTTTTGTGATGGAGTAGCTAACCTTGCAAAAGTGGAATCTTGATTACATTCTGACAGCGCATGTACTATTGAAAAATAATCTAATTTGTACAAATAGAAACTAATTCATATCAATGTCTGTTTTAGTTCGATATTTCATACAAAACAGTCAATAGTTTCTGTACTCTCGGAATTGTAAAAGTAAATAACGAAGTTTTGTTTGTAACTTAGTAGACATGATTGAAAAAAGCGCAAAAAAATAATAGATGTTTTTATTAATGTGTATGGTAAAGGCAATAAAGAAAATTTAATAAAGGAATAAATAATCACAAACTTTAAGATACTGTCCTTTTATATATTTTCTTTCATCTCTTTACTGAAACTCAAAATGCTAGAAAGGTTAGATATAAGCAAAAACATGCGCTCTTATAGCAAAAAATTTCTATGATAGAAGTTAGGGCATGTATTTCCATGCAGAGAAATTCTATCGATGTGAAAAAATTCTATAAATTATATAAATGTATGCATCATGAGTTATAGAGCTATGTAAGGTTAAAATTGTTAAAAATATGACTTGATGCTCCATAGTACATGCATACATTGTGTGCATTTAAGCCAGATAAGGTTTCGGTCCAGATTTGGCTCCCCACAAAATAAATTCAGAACATATGTGGCATGAGTTAATTGACTGACTTTGGTTAGGATACCAATTCTAGAAAAATGGCACTTTGAAATTGTGCCTGTCTCACAGATAAGTTATGCATAACGATGAGCCTTGCAAGGTGATACAGATAAATTTTACATGTGGAATTTATTTTAACACGTTAGATTGGAAAATTATCTATTGGTATACGTAACAATAAATTTTTTATCACATTCACATCGTCTATATATTCCCTCTGCTACTTTTTTACATGTTTTACAATATAGGTGTAAATGATGATTGCATTCATTACAGACCTTACACCCGTGCTTCCAGCCTCTAAAGATATGCCACTTTTCAAAGTAATTAGGTTTCTCAAAAAAAATACCTGCTTCTACTGTGTTTGTATAAACCACACAATTAAGT